ATATATATATAAAAAAAACTGAACCTCCCTCCAAAATTTCAAAGTGGCCTGCATCTACTGTATATCCAGCCCTGTTTACTCTGATACACCTAAATTAAATCTAGTCACCTTCAGAAGTTTAGTCTCAGCTGTTTTCTATAGATCTCAGAGGTTTCTTGAAAACAGTAATCATCCTTAAAAAGTGAAAGTCAGTGAGTCAACTGCATAATAAAGACGGGAACACAGCAGACAGGACTGAGAGAAACACATTTGAAGGTTAAAGCAAGATAAGGACATAAAGTAAGGCTGACAGCTTTTAGCCTCCCACATCTGAAACTGAAACTTCATCTGAAACCGAGAACAGTTTACCACATCTGCAAAACCTACAGTTAGGCCAGCAGTTATTCCTATGCTTGGTGGGTTTAAGTTTACAGTAATCTCTTAGCAACATGTTTCTTCTGACTGGAAGGAATAATAAGGTTTAGAAGTGGTCCAGCCAGAGTCCTCACTAAGATCTGGGGAGATTTTTTTTTTTGTTGTTCGTAAAATTCTGCCTTTATTTCTAGCAAAAACAAACTTCTTGGTTTGAAATATTTAAAATATAACATTTACAGAGCAATGAAATAAATATGGTGTCTTCCTAAGCTAACTGGTTGGTCAAGTAGCCCCTAATTAATCCTAACGCAACTAAAGGCTGGTTTATAATCAGAAACCAGGTTATCTGTGTGTCAAGGTTAATGCAGGTATAGCCTCGCCCCTTCCCCAGACACTCTGCTACACCTCTCCTAAATTGTTGGTGGCTGCAGACAGTGCCGCAGACATGAGGCCTCTGATTGGTCAAATCTACATCCGCTCTACACTATGCTGATTTCCTGTTTGGTACCCTACCAGCTTGTTTTGTTTGTATAACCGCCATTGTGGAAAATGATTCGTAAAGTTGGACCAGCTAGAAGAGCTGGGACCCTTTTTTCCACCTGGATCCCCGCTCTTTTTCACCCTCATGTCCCTCCGTTGTCGCACAAACTTGCCCCCACTTCCACACCGCCTTGGCCGTATCTAGACCCACAGCTAGTTCCTGATTGTGCCTCTTGTGTTGTGGCGTGGAATAACATAGCGCAGACCACGCTTCAAAATTGAGAATAAATCAAAAATATCTGCGACAAACCCACTGCGACACACTGCTGCGGCAGTATAACCAGCCCTTTAGGAAGCCGACAGTAACTTAAAAAAGAAAGGCTGCAGTGATTGTCAGCTAAGGTGGATAATCCGTTGACCTACGTACTCCAAAAAATTCTGGCCCACATCCCTAACACTCTACCCAACAACGATACATGGTGTTGGCAGCATCATGCTTTGGGGAGACTTTTCTTCAGCATAGACAAGCAAACTGCTTAGACATTATGGGTGGATGGAATTCCAACACAGGTTAAAAAAGTTAAAAAACAAAGGACAGATGGAGCTAAATAAAAAGCTAGAAAGCTGCTAGAGGAAGACTGAAAACTGGAGCAGAGGTTTTATTTCCAGCAAGAGAGCAGATACCAAGCGTACAACGAGAGCTTCAGAACAGTCAAAGTCCAGGACTGAATCCAACAAGAACTCTGGCAACATTTTAAAGCCGAGGTTAAAAGTCCCCATCTGTTCGAATTAGGTGAGCTTCAAAACAAATCCAGGATATGCAAAGCAGCTAGAGAGTAGAGACGGCACACAGGACTGCAGCCAAATGCAGTTTTCTCTTAATGTTTGATATCAAACACCAGAACTACTGAACAAATACAACAACATTACATTTCTCTAGGGCTGCAAGGGGGAATATTTAGTAAATCATACAGTCAGTCAAATATGTTTCTAATAAATCAATTAATAAACTGATAGAAATTTTTGCTTTACATGTGATTCTTCACCTAATTCGAACCAGGTGAAAATAAAGCTTTGCCATACAATTTCTTAAAAGGAGTTTTTTCCAAATGAAATGATTCATTTTCTATGCATTTATATGTATTTTAGTAAATGGAATCAAACCTTTTCAGTTCTACAGACTCAAAAGCGTTTTACACTGCATTTAGCCATTCACATATTAATGGTGGCAAGCTATATTGTAGCCACAGATGCCATGGGGCACACTGACACAGGCACCACCAGACCCTCTGACCACTATCAGTGGATTATGTTTTGCCCAACGACCGAGGCAGAGGGAGTTGGGGTTCGCACAAGCGATCATTCGGCTGCAGGATGAACTAGTGCACCCTACGCCACTGTCCCCTCACAGGTCTACAGTTTTGCTTTAATATCTACCGAGTTGTTTTTTCTTTTAGCAAACGGCATATTTAAAGTCTGTATGCTCCAATAAACAATTAATCAATTACTAAACGAGTTGAAAATTATTCCAATAATTCATTAATCAAGATTAATCTGATGAATTGTTTCAGCCCTACATTTCAAATAGTCTTATTTTAGGGCACTGGATTCATAAGGGGGTCAAAACCCATGTGTGTTATCTTTTCCCTTCATAATTTTAAACTATCTTGCATTGAGCTGACACATAAAATCCCAAAAAGGTATGTAAATATCTAAAAGTTATTATAAGTGTTTGTTTTAATGCTTGTACCTTCAGTTCGCAGTCTTGATTAACGGCCAGGTTTCCAGGCTTTAGATCCTGCAAATGGAAGTGAAGTGATGGTTAAATGGTGCATATAGTAACAACAACAAATTACAGTGACTGGACTCCGCCCTCAGAAAAAGCAGATTTATTGCCTTGGTTCCTGTGGTCTGACATGGCTTAGCCGCTCGGCTAAACACTTTAGTAACGTTTTCCTTCTTCCACACAATCCTCATCTTGTGATTCAACTTCAAGCCTACTGTAACCAATAAGAATTTTAATACTAAGGCATATATAATGTGATCAGCTGTCACTGAACGTTCCCTATGTCCAAACAGCTTTGGGAACCACCTGACTGTTAACAGGGACACTGGAAAAAATCTAAATAAGTGCATTTGTTCTTGAATTGCGATGGTAAAAGAGACATTTTAACAATGCAACAAGACAGTTTGCATTTAAAAGAAGAAAACACATTTGCATTGTCTTATTTCAAGTGCATTTTATCTAAATATCTTATTTTAAGAGTAAAAATACTAATTCCATTGGCAGATCATCTTATTTACCTAGTCAAATTAAGGGTAAATACACCTAATTTAAAAATGTTTTACTTATTTCTAGATCGTTTTTTCCAGTGGAGGGAACAGTTTATACACTTTAAAAACAAAGGAACTAAACAAATCCTCACAGCCCACTAGGCAAAGAGTAAAGACAGCTAATAGGATCTATTTGGCATCAAACAGGCCAAATGATCATGGAAGAGAGTGAAGATCGATGTGGTTTTCTATGATGCACAAGCTGCTTATTTCATCCCACTGCTGGAAGAACCTTTATATGGACTCCAACGTCCAGATGAAAATCTTATGCAGCGTCTTCAAGTCTTTCATTCTATTAACACCAAAGAAATATCAATTGCCTTATGTGAAAAAGAAGCTGACCAAGGACTTGTACTCACTAACCTGACGATGGAAAACACACCAGCTTGCCCATAAATATAACGCTTTAAAAAACATGGCATGTCAGTGAGGACAGTGAGGCCGCAGCTGATTAGCTTTAGTTAACTGATGCAGATTTTAAAGCATTTCCAGTCTAGTTTGTCTAATCTAATATTTCCAAAAAACACTACAGTGTGATGGTAGTTAGAGTTAAGGTTGCAAAGGGTTCAGCCTCACTGATTTTAAGTTGACTCTGAGGACAGATCTAGATCTAGATCTAGTCATTTTTTCTTAAAATAAGTGCATTTGTTCTTGGATTGAGGAGGTAAAAGAGACATTTTGCAAATGGAACAAAACAACTTTACACTGAGAATAAGAAAACACAATTGCATTGTCTTATTTCAAGTTCATATTATCTAATTATCTTATTTTAACAGTAAAAATACTAATTCCATTGACAAACTATATAATTTATCTACTCAAATTAAGGTTAAATACACTTAATTTAAGACATTTTTTTTACTTATTTCTTATTCTTATTACTTATCTAGATCGTTTTTTTCAGTGTGCTGTGGATGTTGAAGCTGAATAACACGTTTTATGCAAAATATTTGTCAGAACTTAAAAAAGAAGGAACCTCACTTTAGGTGCAACTATTCCATTGCTGGATTAGTGTTAAGAGAGTGTTGGCCTAGTGGGTTAGAGCAGTGGGCTTGTTCTCTAAGAAGGTTGTAAGTACCTGGTTCGATCCCCACAGCCTGCATTCTGTATCACTGAACATAGACCCTGCCACACAATGGCAGCCCACTGCTTCCCAATGGGATGCAGAGAGTGTGGGACGTTTATATTTAACACTGGCAATCACACAGCAGCACATCAACGGATTAAAGTATTTGGTATTTTTATGCTTAACAGTCCTTAAGGTTTGTAGAAGATCAGGTGAAAATATAACCGTGAGGATCAAAACTATGAAGAACTGTGTGGCGTTTCAACCCTGCCATAATTATCCTGAGTATAAATGATAACCCACCGAATGAAAACCAGAGGGGGAGGGTTAACTTTAGATGTGCATCATATTACTTATTTTTTTTTAGATCTGTTTGCTCCCTCTGTATTATTTATTTTTTCTTTTTTTTTTAACGCTCTTTTTTTTCAGAGTTTTGATCTATTTATGTCTGCTATAGAATGATTCCATTGAAGGTCTAACACCCCAGGTGTCTAAGAAAGAATAGTTTATAAGGACGTCCTTAAATTCTTTGTCTGAACACATTTCAGTTAACCTTTCAGGTCTATTGAAATGTGGAGACTTCAGCATGGACCTGGTAGACAGACAGAGACAGCAGATGAGCTTGAGACATGAAGAATCACACAGACTGCCATTTCGCTACTAAATAGACTCATTGCTTATTCTGATTGGGAGAGAGATTTATGCTTTTAACTAATTTTTGACCATGTTTAGAGTGTGCCATGTTGGGAACATCACATGAGCCTACTTTTTATGTTAAGGTCAGAACATTCAGGGGGTCAAAGTAAGAAATAAGTTAAATCTCCAATCTCCTTATTTTTTCTCAGATATTTAATTTGAAACCATAAGGACAAGTTCCCCGCATCTACAGGCAAATTTAAGGTTCTTGTGTTTTAATGTCTCCCAATAACGCGATTATGTCTACAAACTCTGGTTAACCTAATTATTTATTTGATCAACAACAAGATGTTTGTGAAACCCTTCAAATTTTTGCGTGTAACTCTAAGAACATTATTTTCTTGTATGAATCGTCAGCTGTAGATGTAACACGTACTATACCATGCATCAGCCTTATTCGTTCTAAGTCATCCCATTGGATGGTAGATATATAAAATAAAATAAAAAATCTGTCCTGATAGAGGTAGATATAAATTAAATGTCAGATAAACCTTTAAAGCTTAGGGTTTTACTTACTGCTGGTTGGTACTGGAGGTAAAAGGAAAACCACATGTAAGTTATTATTACTGGAGCTAATGTGTGGTGCAGTTTCTCTCATGCTGACTGTAGCAGGGGCTCTAGAGTATTGGGGAAGCAGGCTGATAAACCAGGCTTGCTATTACCTGGATAATACAAATCCTGGCGCTTTTAGTGGAAGTCTGTAGTCATATATTAAATGATAAAATCTATGCAAAGTTGAAATCGAGCCACATAATCAGACAGATCTTATCAGAATATGATCCGTAATATTAGCCTGATAAACCAGAATAAATGTGAGATTAAATGTGTAATTTAATCTGGCCCCGGTGAATGAGACATCAGAAGATTGTTGATGAGAACAACCTGTTGTCTTTCAACCCACGTCTGTGCCTATTGGCCAACGTTCTGACCAATGAGAGCAATTGTAGGCACGACAGAAAGCTGGTGGGGGAGTGTAAAAACAAATGAGCGTAGAGCCTCTTCCTGCTCATGTTTCAACGAAAACCCCCAAGTCTAATCCTTCCTAAACTGATTCCAAAGCTGAGTTTAACCAGAACTGTTCGATTGTTGTTGCCATCTTCCTTGTTGTGCTTTCTGCAACGTCGCGCAGCTTTGTGGTCAAGCCCTGAAAACTAGTGTTGCACCGATACCGATACCAGTATTGGACGGGGCCCCAATACTGCCCTAAAATCGTGGTATCGGTATCGGCGAGTACCAACAAATAAGGCACTGATACCATTTTGAGAGCCATAAGTTTATTCAACTATTGTCACCCATTCCTGGTAGGCAATAAAAAGCTCTACTGGTTTCACTTTGTATTAGATTTTTTCATGCTTCACAAAGGTAGGCAGCAGCATGACAAAGCCATGATGGCAATTATTTTACATTATTATGGTATCGGTATCGGCCGATACTGCACAGCCAGGTATCGGGTATCGGTATCGGGGCCAAAAAATGGCATCAGCGCAACACTACTGAAAACCCCGCCCACTTTGCATCCAGAAATTCAAAACACATCTCTGTGTTGTGATTGGCCCGCCAGTTCTAGGGCCTGGGGCATTGATCGAGGCTAGACCATTGGCAGGCAAAAATGACTTTGGCCTTTGGCGGGTGGGGCTAATTTACTAGGCTACCGTAACATCACATCAGTAGCAGGCTTGTCAATTAAATTGCATAGATATCGTACCATTAAAGACAAACGTCACAATATCATCCAAACAAATAGATATAATAGTGTATTTAAATTCAAAAACACATATATAACATTATGAAAGCTGTAGTTACAGGCACATATGGGAAAGCTGGATAAATACTCCTTACATAAATTCAGTATGTTAAAGCAATAAAATAACCCAACATGAAAAGCTTTTTGAGAATCCAGCCTTTCATTTGAGAGCCTTTATCCCGATATAAACGCTTATTAATTTCTGAAAAACCTCATCAGCATCTCAGTAATTATCCTTGTGATTCCCACATGACAAATGTAACCAAATCTGGCTGATGAGTGTTTCTAGCAGCTTTTAATTAGTAATTAAGAGTTTCCCTGGAGAATAAATGCGTATAAATACTGGAGCCCAACAGAAATCTGCTGCTCCTAAACTTAATAGAATCTACAGTTTGAGAAATGAAACTTTTTAAACAGCTGGAACTAGAACAACCAAGGCTGGATGAGGAACTACATTTCATTTACCTTTGAAAACTGAAGCAAAAAAATAAACAATAAAGCCTAGTATGATTCACTGGGAAACAGAATAATCCAAATGTTTTTCCCAATATTTAGACCTCTTAAACCCAAACAGTTTTCTAAAAAATAAATCAACAGTCTTACTCTGATGAGAAGCCTTTATTCTGCACGGTTAGTGGTTTCTCCACTAAGCCTATACATCCCTCTCTGATCCTCAGAGCTTTGAGTGCACTATAGTGTTTTTAGTGCTACTCACAGAGGGAGGGTGTAATGAACAGGGAACACTGAAGTAGTAAAGAAAATATATAACTGAAGGATTTGGGAGTAACTCGCATAAGTGTACTTTGCCTTCTTCACACGCAGAAAGAACAGGCCCTAGGTGTGGCCAAACAGCCCAAGACATGCATTCAAACATCAGACGACCCGACTCATCCTACCAGTTGGGACACATTTCAAATGACTCATCAATATTCATTTCCAAACTAAATAACGGTGTAGAAAGAGGCATATTATACCTGGAAAACCCTAGAAGTAGTATTGACCGCTTACCCTGTGGATGATTCCCGCCTTGTGAATGTACTACAGAGGGAGAAGAGGAGCAAACTGTTAATATTCTTATTGTTCATCTAACATTTTATGCATTTTATACCTTTTTTTTTAATTCTCCAAGATCAATAAAGTTTAAGATATTTTGTTCTCACCCTGAGTCCACAGAGCATCTGGTAAACGAGGAACTGGACTTTGTCTTCAGAGAGATGACCCCTCACCTTTGACAGGTCGGTGTACATGTAAGGCATCACCAGATAGCTGAGAAACAGATGCAGAGAGGTCAGATGTTTTAGTTTTTCTCTTTCCATCAGAAGTTTTGGAGTTTTTACATCTGAGCAGGTCTCAATAGATGTGTCCGAATACTGAGGAAACCAGTCCTGATGAGCTGCTGCAGCTCAGATTTCAGCCTCTATTCAGTAAACTTAATAAAAAAGAGAAAGATCCCCCTTTTAAGTCATATAAAAATATTTCATTTTATTACTGATTCATGCTACTCAATGGTTACCACTCAAACCTTTTTCTATCATATCATGTTACAGTAAAAAACTGCTGAATCATCACTTTGTAGAACCAAATTTCACAGTAGTTTCAGGTGCAAGTTTTAAGGAGAATCTCTCTACCTGCTTGCATATTATTCTTAGTGGTAAAATAGCTCAAGATCTGCAGAATAGACAGAGAAGATCTATGGGAATCTGTGGTCTAGTTTCAGGTTCTAAAACTAGGGATTAGATCAACCACATAAAAGAAATTGATCTAAATCATTCTGTGGTTGTTGTTGAACCTGCAATGTGTAAATCTGCTCCAGCATTAATGCTGTGTTCACACTAAAGGAGCTTTACACAGTGAAGAAGCATCTGCTGCTTTATCTTTGACACCTGTCCTCATTAGGGCCAGCAAGGCGTGTCGTAATATCAGGGTTTATACAGGAATGAGAAACTCTAATTTAATGCTCTTTTAATACTCTTAGAAATAATTTTAATGCCATCAACAAGTAACCATGACTCTTATGTGTATATATATATATATATATATACTAAAAACACAGCAAAATCCTTCATCGTCTTTACCGTCGACAGGCTGCAGTCATGTTCCGAATTCCGCATCTTCCAGCCACTTTTACTGAAATATGCATTTTCCCACTCTGTAGCTTTTTCTCCGCCTCGAGCTTCTTTACCGAACATATGGCTTTACGATCAATCGTGATATATCTGATGAAATTGTTTTTATAAAAGTTGTTTTTTTTTTTTTAAATAAAGCATTTTAATCACATTTAATAAATTTTAATACCAATTAAGGGCTTAATTAAAAAAAAATAAATAACTTAATGACTTTTAATGATTTTTGATGACCCACAGAAACCCTATAAAGGGTCTGAGGCGTGTTGGGAGGAGCTACCCTCTTCTCTTGCAGGTCTCTTGTACATAGCAGATGAAACTGAGAGAGTGGCTTAGATTTATTTTCTTAATAAAGATAGGGAACACTATCATCGGGATCTTTAGTAGCATGTCTGGAGTCACCAGATACTTTTGAAGTGTTTAGCTAGTGGAGAGTATCACCACTAGACCAAGAGACCACCCCCGCCAGCATGAGGACCAGTTGGGCATCGGTGCCGGCATATCCAACCAACCAGCTCCACAGCAACCAATCGCTGATTGGTTGCTGTGGAGCTTCGAGCAACAAAAACATAAATCTAACCCTTTTGAGTTTTATGTTTTCGTTTTGTTTAAATCCTATGGTTTATTGTGCATAATCTAAAGAAGGAAACAACTAAAATGCAGATAAACATGGTTTAATCAAATATTTTGCCAGACTGCCCTGAGCATGTCCCATGATGACGTCAGAGAAGCAGTTTAAGGGAGAAAATGTAAAAATTGTCTCACAGAAGTCATAAATCATTTTTTTAAAGATGTGTTTTAGCATTCTTTGGTGAGTTGAGGATAGAAATAAGTAGTTTTAGTACCATAATTACATCATTTATTGACACCCGGATGTATATTTGTTCGCGCATGCGTAGGACGGATCGGGTAGTGACAACCTCTCCAGTTCTGCAACAGCTTTATGCATGGGGTGGGAGACATTATCCAACAAAGTTGTTCATTTAGTTATGATCCTTTCCACTGCTCCAACAGACAGCTACATAGAAGATGGATGATGCCACAACAGAGTAATAAAAGGTCTTTAGGAGCGCCCCCCACACTCCAAAAGAACTCAATTTTACACCTGAGGTTAACTGAATAGTCATAGTCAAAATGATTTGCATAATAAACGAAAAACTTGGATCATGACTTGACTGTAGACCATTTTTGGCTGAGAAGTTTGGAAACCTGTGCTGTAAAATACCGAACCTTCAACTGGGGTTTTCTTAATGCTTACTTCCAGCCACTCTTCCATGAAGGCCAAATTCTTGTAAAGCTGCTATTAGTCATGTTAATTATTAATGCGACAATTCACTTTGAGACATATAAGGTGCAGCAAAGTGATATTTAAAATGAAGTAAGGCTTTTAGAGCGTAGCAACACACTTTCCGCTGCATGAGCATGCCTTTCTTGAAAAGCAAAACCCAAAGTGCATTTTACAAGCTTTTGTAGACTTATCAACTGTTACAGATACATGCTACAACAAGTCCCTAAACCGATTCAGTACAGTCTGTTGCAAAGGAAGAGATAAGGATTTTTCCCAACATAAAAAGGTCCATCATTGCTTTTTTTTTTATTAAAAAACACAGAGCTGTCAGGTCCCCAGATCATATGACTGCATCTGTTCCCAGAGCCTCGGGTGTTTACTAAACCCACAGATCCTCATAAGTTACCAATGCTTGTCAAGACGGCAAAAAAACAACAACTCACAAGTCTTGGAAATCGTCCAAGCTGGAGGCAGGTGTAAACACATCCTGGAGTCCTATCACCTGCATGGAATGAGAGAGACGGATTCATTTACAGAAACCTTCATTACCTCAACAAAGAAAAAAGAAAAAAAGTGCCAATTCAGAGCCGTAAACACATCTGCAGTCTGTTGCAGGGTTCTCCATCTCCTCACATTCTCATGCTTCATGTGTTTGAGCAGCCGGAGCTCCCTGTAAGCCCTCTTAGCGAAGATATCCGACTGAAAGGGCCTGTGGAGCTTCTTGATGGCCACTTTCTCTTTAGTCTTGTCGTTTACTGCCGAGCTGAGGGGGAAGATGAAACACAGAGAAACACATCATTAGCTGAGTGCTAGGTCTGCATAGGTTTTGCTATCAAAAAACCCCCTCTGTGAAGTCAGAACAGTGGGGGAAATGAAAAAATGAGTAGCCCTGAGGTTTTGTTTTGATAGAGATTTGAATCTAACTACAGAGAATGAGTGGTGGTCTGCTGTTTTTTCTTTATTTTTTTATGCTCAGCGTTAAAATGTTTGGCAACTTTTGATGTGCATGCTTGCTGTGATCTGCAGGGCACCAATATGTGGGAGGAGAGGCTTATTAGACTATTTTGGAGCCCAATCCACCAACACACATACAAATCACTGCTGTGTGGTCCTGTTTACAGCCCCAATGTAGGATTTTTACAGTCACTCCTGCAGCAGCTACTGTATGTCTTCATACGTCTGCAGCGGGGGATGTTCATTTTGAAGCTTTTATCATTTCTATGATCTATCTGCTTCTTTTTTCTTTCCTTGCTGAGGTTTTATAAAAGATGTTCTGTTTGGGGAAATTACAGGTAAAGATGAATGAGTTCATGACATGTTTTTTTAAAGTTCAGTCTTTTTTAACTCCTACACTGTTTAACAGCCTGATGAGCCCGGCTCCTCAGCTTACACAGAAGGATCACTCTGTAAACACAAGTTATTAGGCTGTAATTTGACACACGGCTGGCCAGAACTGCAATATATGCATTTTATGAGGGAGTTTATTTGCATTTAGAAGAATAAAAAGCGATAAAACCTCACATAATTATTGTTTTTTTTTTTTGTTTTTTTTGTGTTGATCTCTCTGAAACTATTCTGTATAAATATGACATATAGAATTTGGCCATTTCACTTACTTGTACGTTAGGAAACAAGTGAAAAAGGAAGTATTTCTCATCTATAGGCTTTAGTGGGGAAAACAATTTAACTTATTTTTTCCATCTCAGTTATCCAATAGAAACGTGTGAAGAGTTGCATACAATTTTTGCTTTTTTAAAAACCCTTTTAAATTATAGCACTTACATCTTTGAAACAAAAAAAGTAATAGCTGAAAAAGATTAATCTGATTATTCACTTAATTACTTGGTAACTAATTTAGTATTTAATTATTCCTTGACTGCAGTAGACTATAGCACGCCATTTGCTGGAAGAACATATTTTTAAATGTATACATACCGTATATATTTCTGTCCAGAATAATAATTAATAATAATAATTGAACTTATTGATTTCACATTTGAGAAATGTACCTCTGCATTTAACCCCTTCCCTTGGGGAGCAGTGGGCTGCAATCCTGGGGTGCCTGGGGGGCAGTGTGGTGGTTAAGGGTCTTTGCTCAGAGACCCAGAGTGGCAGTCTGTGGGAGTGGGTTTCGAACTCACAACATCAGGATTCCAAGCTCTATGCCCCAACCACTGGGTTAGGCGTTTTTCAGCAATAAATTTAGCTTTATATACAAGTTTTAGTCACTTAATATTCATTAAAAATGTACAATATATATTTTTATGCTCAAACAGTCATTTATAGATGTATTTTAATGTATTGAAAGCATCTCTGCTTAAAAAGAAAAAAAGGAAATGCTAGATCATTAAAATAATTGACAGCTGCAGCCACAAAAAACATATCAGCTTCCTCCATTCTGCACATCATCACCAGGATTTAGTGGGAAAAGAAGATAGATGTTGGAGATCGGCCTGTTTTTCAGTGTAGTCCTGTTTCTCTGACTGTGACTGACTGGATGTGCTCTCTTCATCCTCCGACATGGGAGCTGGCTAACAGTTGCCTTTTATATCTCTGCTTCTTTTTGTATCTCTGCTTCTGTCTCCTTGAAACCCAGTCGGCCTCGGCAGATGGCCGCTCACACTGAGCCTGGTTCTGCTGGAGGTTTCTTCCTGTTAAAAGGGAGTTTTTCCTCTCCACTGTTGCTACAAGCATGCTTAGTGTGAGGGATTGAATTCAAGTCAATGAGTCAATGCAATCATCTGATTTTCCTTAGATAGAATACTTTGAATCAATGTGACTGTATGATCTGGTGAACTGTAAAGTGCCTTGAGATGACATGTGTTGTGAATTGGCGCTATAGAAATAAACTGAATTGAATTGAATTGAAGGTTGGTTGCAGCCCTAGATGGATGTACATCTGGAAACATCCTGTCCTAAATTAATACTTGTGACACTCTAGAAAAGTCAGAATAGTGATAAAGTGCATCATCAAAACTTAAAAACTGCGACTAAATTTAGGACAGGGTTTACAGGAATGAGTAACTATAATTTAATGCATTTTACTGCGCTTTTAATGCTCTTAGAAATAATTTTAATGCCATCAACAAGCACCCACTACTCTCATATATACACGGCAAAATCCTTCAACTTCTTTACCATCGACAGGCTGCAGCCAGGTCCCGAATTCCTCGTTTTCCAGCCACTTTTGTTTAAATTAGCATTTTCCCCCATTCTCTAGCTTTTTTTCTGCCTCGAGCTTCTTTCCTGACATACGGCTTTAGGATCTACCGGAAGCAGTTCCGCGCAAATATATTGCAATATATCTGACAAAATAGTTTTTATAACTTTGTTTTTTTTAAATAAATAATTTTAAATGCTACAATAATCACATTTAATGAATTTTAATTATGATTAATTTCAATTCAGTTTAATTATATAGCGCCAAATTCACAACACATGTAATCTCAAGACACTCTACAGTTCACCAGATCATACAGTTAAATTGATACAAAGTTTTCTATCTAAGGAAAACCACTTGATTGCACCGACTCGAATACAATCCCTCACACCAAGCATGCTTGTAGCGACAGTGGAGAGGAAAAACTCCCTTTTAACAGGAAGCAACCTCCAGCAGGACCAGGCTCAGTGTGAGCGGCCATCTGCCAAGGCTGACTGGGGTTCAAGGAGACATAAGCGGAGATAAAAAAGCAGCTGTAAAAGGCGACCCCATCCAGGAAACACACAGCCAGGCAGATGAGCCCCGAGCCAGCTCCCATGTCAGAGGATGAAGAGAGCACATCCAGCCAGTCACAGTCAGAGAAACAGGACCACATGATTCAGGCCTTAATTTAAAAAAAATAATAATTGAATGACTTTTGTTATTTTTTAATGACCCGTGAAAACCCTGTAGCAATAAACTTTATAAAGTTTATCAACTTCCTAACCAAAATCTCAGCGATAGGAATAACTGTTGCTTGTGGGTCCTAACAAAAAGCAGCCATGCTTTAAATTAGTTTTAATTATTTAATAAAAATAAGATTATACATAAATAATAAAAAGTCTTAGTATTTTTAAATCAAGGTTACTCTACTCTATACACTCAATTACTTATGCCTAAGCATGTAAGTCACATCTATTAGAATATAAATGTGTATTTTGTGCAGAAAATCAACACATGGACCTAAAAGTCAGTGTAAATGAGTGATGCTTATTGGATCTGTTGCTTCAGGTATATAAGTTTCTACACACTTTTTAATGAGGGTGACTTAATGGTTGAATAATGCAGCAACATGAGACAACATGCACAATCTGATACCTGCAGGTTAATGCAAGAAGAAGGAGGCCATCTTTAAAACAGCTATCATCCATGCCTCCTTCACCACAGTACATTATAGGACACATTTAGGCCTGACAGGTATGAGATCAAACAGTATAGATTTTAATAGGAAGTGGTAAAAGCTGCTAAGTTGCCTCCATCAGACATGTTGGTGTTCCACAGGATATCACCCCAGGCCCACCGCAGCCTGCATGCAGCTGCTGTAGGTGTCGATCAAAACTGAACATGGTGTATAGAAAGAGCCCACCACAGCAAACAAACCCGTAAATACACAAACACACACCCACGGACGTCCAAGAAGTCACTCACCACACCACACCGTACGCCCCGGTCCCTATCTGCTTCAGCCGCGTGTATTTCTCCGGGACTTCCCACACCGTGCTGTTGATTTCCTCACGGGAGAAACGGCCCTGGTCCTCCATGATGGAGAGGAGCAGGAAAAGAAAGAGGGAAAACTTCTACTCTCTGCCTCCTGTTTCTGTTACGCCTGTCAGTTGCTCAGAGAGGAGAGCAACAACATCAGGCAAGCGCGAGACGAGGCTACCTGCTTCCGGTTTGGGCTTTCAAAATAAAAGTCGCCTCATAGGTGTTTAGGTTCTGGCTGCTGCCCATCACTTTCTGCTCACCAGCAAGGTGAAACAAGAGACATCTGTCCTTTCATTCACAGAACTTACAAAAATGTTTTTTTTCTTGTTCTGTCTATATTCTTGCTGGCAACATTTTTTGACTATGTGGATTCAAATATTTAGATTTATTCATTTATTTGACAGGGACAGTGTACATTAATAAGCATTCCTGCAAATGCACCAGAATGAGCCAAAAGGCTATTTTTCATCTATTGTCCTTGGACAGATCTTAAAATTGACAACCTAAAAAAACACAACACTAAACATTGTACAATGAAAAATAAAAATATAAAAAGAAATAAAACATTGTACAATGAAAAATAAAAATATAAAAAGAAATAAAAACAGCTATAATTCTTCAAAACCGGTTTAAAAATACAGAATAAATGTTTGCTAGACTACAGATTTTAGGTGAATAAAATAGAATAATATATTTACAATTTATAATTACAATTTTAGAAAATGTTAAACTTCCATGAGGAAAAAAAAACTTTAGTTTTCAGCAATACAATGTGTTCAAATGCTTTCTTGATTAACCTTTTAATCATCATAGCCAAATTTCCCTGACATAAATTTTAATATCTAAAGAAAAAAGTTAAATGTGGGTTGTTTTTCTTTATTCAACTTAGACAATATGTCTGTCTTACACTTAGACAGAATTCATTGTAATTTTGTACGCACAGTGTTAACAAATAGAAATTTTATTCAGTACTGCTCTCAAGACATTTTCATTTTTAAAGTGCAGCAGTGATAAAAGTAAGCAGTAGTGATCAAATGTAAACATAAGACAGATATGATTTACAGTTTCCAAAATTCAGTGGTTTGTTTGTTTTTGTTTTTTAACCCCATTTTATACAACATTCAGCAGTCTAATGGCAGTGGGGAAGAAGCTGTTCATGAATCTGTATATTATCTGATCCTCTACTCATCAAAAAGTAAAAAAAATAAAAAATAAAAAACCCAAACAAATCAGTTTATTCCCATCTGAAAATTTTTAGGAAACTAAATTTCACATAAGATATATATTTTATGGGATATGTACAGTTATTTGATACTCATTATATATCATGTTGTTTGTTTTTCTTTCTAACAATCTTATGTACTTTTTCTTGTCTACTATGGTATAGGCCCTGGCATATTTGTACTCTATTGTTTAATCTGTTTTTAGCTCTTTAAATTAAATTCAAGTAGATGTTAAGATAAATAAATAAAAGTAACACGTTTAATCCCTCCAAGTGTTAAAATTACTTGATGACTGTCTCTTATTGCATAGACTACAGGAATTTAACTGTGTTTTCCTAAATAAAACCTGGACTCACTTTACCTTAAATAAAACAAAACACCAATTGAAGCCTTGATTTGAAGGAATAAAAGCCTAAGTCTTTTATGGTTAAAAGAAGAGGAACATTAGAAATGTTGCTCTGTTCTGGAGCATAGGGAAGAAAATATTAATTCAAAGCACCAAAGTGGGGACTTTTATTTTCACCCATAGTAATAAACTGAGCAACAGAAGGGGAGCAATCTGGGGTTATTGGTATTTCGCATGGTGTCTTTATCCTCAATGCCCCCAGTCCTAAATAGACTGAGCTTATTAGAGTACAATTTAAAACAAGTATTGTTTTTTTTCCTTCTTTTTGTCTTTTTCCCTTTTTTTCTCTCTTCTAAAAAAATAAATAAAGCAAGTACTGTTATCGTCATTGCAAAGAAATTATATCTCTTCACTGATAGCGCTAAGACTGTTTTTTATTTTGATGTGCTCCTAGTAGGCTTAACTTATGCATTTGTTAAAACTTCAAGTCTGTGTCTTATTCTAAATAATTCAGGCTCACAATTATATCAAATGACTGGTTTGTTACCATGCACTAAAACAATAGGCAGGCTGAAGAAATAATTCAATCATTTGAGTTGACTGTGATAGTGGAGGGACTCCTGACAATACGCAGGTGAAAGAAAAAACATCCCGTCGGTCTGCAACTGGACCTGTCTGCCATAATCAATTAAAGTGGTTATAGTTTGACCTGGTTTATGGATTGTTCTTTCATCCTGTATCCATATTTTGTGTAATAAATTCCCCCCAAAACTGGAGCAAACAACCACCACTACTGTAAAAAATACAGCTTTTTAAATTTTTTATCCAATATTTAGATTGGCATATTTTTACCTTATTTGTTAAGATTTTTATGTTTACATAACTAATATTGCAACAACAAAAATATAAACACAAAATGTCAAAATAAAAACAAAACTTTAATTTGAAAGGACAATCAAGCAAGTTCTCCCCTGAGTTGAATGTCAACTTTATGAATGAAATCTTGTTATCACATCTTTTGAACCAAAATCTGATTATTTCTATTTTTTTATTTGATATCAGCAGCATGTTGGCTATTTATTGTAGCATCATAGCTATTTATTTAAGTACAAAACTACTGTACCATAAAAGAGGAGACCAAACCAAATGCTTCAAATTATGAGAACCCCCATGAGAACAATCCGGAGCTCTGCTTGTTGAAACATGTCAACATGACTCGATTTTCTCCCTCCCACACATGGTAGGTGTTACTTGTGGTGTTACTTGTACAAATCCAGAAACGTATGAATCATAGCAGCCTACTGCGGCACATTCACACAAGCAGGAAAGGGGCAAAGCATGTGAGCATGAAGAGATTTGACTTTTTAATCTCACACTGAACGTTCACTGTCAGAGGAAGGAGCCAGTAGACTGTATAGGAATGAATTACACTGACTGAATCACATTAAATGAATCGTTTTCTATTTTCATAAACAGAGCCTGAAAGAAATTCTATAAACTTTTTGTCACGTTCCATCCATCCATCCATCCATCCATCCATCCATCCATCCATCCATCCATCCATCCATCCATCCATCCATCCATCCATCCATCCATCCAAGATGATTTCTACAATAATTTTGATGTGATCCCTCAGGTGTACGGAGGGCCAAAATTGATCATGTAATACATAAATCTACTATGAATTAAGTAAGTGTGACATTTAATTTACTAATTATCTAATACATGGTTTTAAATATAACATAGACCTTTAAATTGTAAAATCCACTAATGAATAATGCCCTATCTAATTGAAAAGTACATTTAAATTAGATAAAGTAATTAGATTACTAATTACTTTATCTTAGATTGTAACTGTATTTTAGACACCGGTTCACAGGTGACAACTATTCCAGTTTGTTTCTACAATGATAATCTGAGCAACCAACCTGTAATGCCCTTGGATAATTTGTTACAGGTTGAAGGTGCTGCTGGACAGTCTGTTCCATATTTGGGATATGTGGAGCTGGTCATCACATTCCCTGAGGACTTCATGTGGGTAAGCACTGAGTTACCAACTCTCGCTCTTGTGGTTCCAGATGCTAGTCCTGAAAGGCCATCTAATGTACTTATCGGCATGAACACACTGGAGTAGTATGAACAACACCTTAGCAGTGACCATGTACATTTTTAGCCCTTTTCCCAAGGGTATCATGTGGTCCTGAAGCTGCTACAGTTAAGGCACCAGCAGAATAAATCAGGCAATGCAGGAACTGTCAGGCTGTTAAGCACCATCCCAGTCCTGATTCCATCTGGCCAAACTATTGTCCTGGAGGGTTCTGTTAAAATCACCCCTCCATCTGTAGATAAGTGGGCCATTATTGAACACCCCAGCTCACCTTTGACAGGGGGTTTGTGTGTTCGAAGTTGTGTAATTACACTGCCACCGCATCCACCATACAAAGTCCCAGTAATCATGAAGAAGGAATCAGAACAAGGTGTGTCTATATTACCATTAACCATTATTAGAGACATTGGTTTAGCACCTCAAACCTCACAACACACCACTTTGGAGTTTAATTTTGGAGACTGTCCCATTTCACTTGAGTGGAAAGAATATATATATTAACAAATCGAACAGCATGTCTGATGGATTTTCTCATCATGACTTGGATTTTGGCTGTACAGACGCAGTTAAACATGCCATTAAACTTCATGATGAGACACCTTATAAACAGAGAGCAAGGCCAATCCATCCCCAAGATCTGGAGGCAGTCCATGAACACCTTAGGGATCTGCTCGAAGCTGGCATCATAAGAGAGTCCAAATCGCCATTTTCGTCTTCAATAATTGTTACGTTACGTTTCCGAACAAAAATTGTTCTGTCACACTGGTTGAGTCTCTGTCTCTGTCAACATCATCAATGAAGAGTGTCATGGCTTGCCTCTGATTCCCTCTCTATCTCAGTTTGATCCCCAGCAGGAACAACAAGCTGACCCTGCTATTCGTAGGGTCATTCATCAGCTGGAGACTGGTGAGAAGGTCCCTCCATCAGTTCGTGATGAGCTGCCAGACCTTCCCTTGTTCCTGAGAGAGTGGAACAGGTTAGAGTTGGTGGATGGAATCCTATATCGGAGAAGACAAGATGGAGATAGACTTGCCTCTCAGTTAGTCCTACCACCCAGTATACGGCCAGCTGTTTTAAAGAGCTTGCACCATGATATGGGGCATATGGGCATCGAAAGAACAATTGATCTGGTGCGCCAACGCTTCTTTTGGCCCAAAATGACACCTGAGGTGGAAACCCTTATAAAAACCTGTGGTCGTTGTGTAAGGCGTAACACTCAAACCAAAAAAGCAGCTCCATTGATAAATATTCAAACCGGCCAGTTGAACTGTTATGTATGGACTTTTTAACTATTGAACCTGGTAGGAGTAATACTAAGGACATTCTTGTTCTCACTGATCACTTTACCAAATTTGCAGTTGCCATTCTTACCCCCAGCCAGAAAGCAAAGACTGTTGCAAAATACCTCTGGAATGAATTCATGATTTATTATGGAATTCCAGAGTGTATACACTAGAACAGGGTACAGAGTTCAAGTCAATGCTCATTAAGGAGCTCTG